TACTGATTTCCATGCATACCGGGGTATATGTAGTCATCGACACGTTACTGAGGTCAGATAATTTTCATCATTATACTGTAAAGTTCTATTTCCAAGAATCAAATGTTTTATAAGGGTATATCTCCCAGTTGATATTTCAGAGTTTGCATTTCCTATCATGACTTCCTTTAAAGATGGTTGATGCTTACAATGAAGCTATTGAACCAAGAGTTCCAAGTGGTGGAGTTGAAATCATCCCTTTGAAAATTTTACGGACGCCATCACGAGTTGGTTGGTCGTTATGGAATATCTGTTTCACAGATGACGACGGATATGTTCCAATTGTGGTAACCACAATCCCGTCCTCTTTTCCCCGGATGTGACTTACCGAATCCAACTTATCACCTGGTTGGTACTTATATGAGCAACACGACGGGTACCACATGTTGAACAGGATCTACTTACCCTTCCGGAGCACATGAAGTAACCCTCCCCCCCACCCCCGGATTTTGTAAGGTTAGTGTTGCCAGGTCTTTTTTTTTCTATGTTGTGTTTTGAGTACCATTGTCTTTTCGTCGTTTTTCTTTCTTTTTCTTTTTTTGGCTATGGCATTGTCAGTTTTTTTCCGACTTATGAGTTTGAATGTCCCTTTGGTGTCTTTCGCCTCTCTTTTGTAGGTCAAATTAAAATACTTATATCATGGAAATTATAGATTATGCGTAGTAGTTGTGTCAACATTTTGAAGCCCTAAACGTTAACTACATTATTTTTTGCCTGGCATAAAAAGACCTTATGTAAAATTATTTCCGTCAAATTTATTTTAATTGGAATCGTCTGAAAATCTCCACTTTGCTGAATAACTGAAACTGAAAGAAGCAGTGTTCCCACTTACAAATTTGTCAATTATAATAACTTTTAAATAATCCTTATTGTAGTAAATGTGTATAAGAAAACTCATCAGAAATTCCAGGTTTATAATTAAATACACCAGACAGACGTTTGGTCTACATCCTGATACTCATCAGTGGCGCTCGAATCGAAACAGATAATAACCCAAAATAAAGATAAACTGCACAGGACAGCGTTCAATTGCATTCAATTTAAATTTTCAAATTGAAATTGGCACAAACATATTCATGAAATAACCCAAAAGGCTTACAAATTAATGAATTTTTGCAAAAGTTTAAATTCATCCTAGATAAACGAACTCTCGAGACAGTATATACCTCACATATATAAGATCCTTGTTAGAATGCACTGATGTTGTCTAGGACAACAACTAAAATCCTTTGGTAGATAAAATTGAGTACAAACTATAGGCGGCAGAATCGTTTCTGTTTATCTGTGGGTATTAGGCTGGTTTCTTTACAGAAGTTATATTTAGAAACCGGTTTGAAAAAGCTTAAAGATCGAAGGGAGACCAACATACTAATGTATATCTATAAAATGAAAGAAAAAAACAATATTACTCAGAAGTATTTATCGAACATAGTTCCAGAATCCCATGGAACTATACATAATCATAATGCGAAAAAATAGTCATGTATCCCCTCCCCCTTCTGTTGGAACAAGCATGGCCCTTTATTTATCTATAATTTACCTGTAACTGTACGCTTTTGGAATCTTCTGCCTAGGAGTAACAAAGTTAGCACTTCATTTGAATCATTCGAGAGTTGTGTCCAGTATCGTTAAACTGCATCGTGTTAATTGTTTTAAATTTGTCATTTCGCAGCCCAATCTAATTAAAATATAGATCTCAGATTTCGTTATACTACGTTATACTACATACGTTATAGCTTACTATGCGGTATGGGTTTTGCTCATTGTTGACTGCCATATTGTGACCTATAATTGCTTTCTTCTACATCATTTCTCTGGTGGAGAGTTGTCTCATTGGCGATCATACCACATCTTTTTATTTTTATATAGACCCCATAATTTTACATTATTAAAAAGTAAAACAACAAAAATACCGAACTCCAAGGAAAATTCAAAACGGAAAGTCCCTTATCAAATGGCAAAATCAAAAGCTCAAACACATCAAACGAATGGAAAACGACTGTCATAACTGTTAAGCGCGTAGGTCAAATTTATTACTAAAAACTTCGTATGCAATGCAGTTCTCTGGATAAGCAACAGGAGCTTGGTGTATGACCCCCCCCCCCCCCTCCCTTCCCCCCTTTTCTTCTTTTCCTTTTTTGTACTTATTTTTTTTTAAGTAAAAATCATCTCAATTTTAAATTTACTTTCACTCGTTTAAAGTGTTCTTGCTCTTATCCAAACGATATTACAATAACAGTAGTTTATATTTTTGCCCTTTTATTCTTATTTTCCACAATAAGAATAGAAGGGCAAGATAAAGGCAAACATAGACTAGAGGAGGAAGGGCTATGAACCAAAATTCAGTGTCAAAAACGAACATTTTTATTGTCGGACGAAAGATTCTAACTGTCATTCTCACAATCAAACGATTTGATCACTTAACTCGTTCAACAGGTCTACAATGCATGTTAAATTGTTTAACATTTCACAGCGGTATAACATGTTAGTACTTTAATTATTAATGATTGAGTTAAGCCTTTTCAATTGATATTCTATAGTGTGTCTTTCTATGTTGTGATGTTACACTATTGTTTCAGATAAGGGTGAAGGTTTGGTACCATTAAAACGTTTAAACCCGCTGCAATTGTTTGCACCTGTCCTAAGTCAGGAATCTGATGTTCAGTAGTTGTCGTTTGTTGATGTGGTTCATAAGTGTTTCTCGTTTCTCGTTTTTTATATAAATTAGACCGTTGGTTTTCCCGTTTGACTGGTTTTACACTAGTAATTTTTGGGGCCCTTTATAGCTTGCTGTTCGGAGTGAGCCAAGGCCCCGTGTTGAAGACCGTACTTTGACCTATAATGGTTTACTTTTATAAATTTTGACTTGGACGGAGAGTTGTCTCATTGGCACTCAAACTACATCTTCTTATATCTATTATCTAAAATACTCGGTTTTTACATCGCGATGATCGTGAGGTCATTTCGATGTATTGCTATCGCCTAAATTTCCATTATGCAAATTAGTTTTGGGTTTTCAACCGATCTATAAAAATTATAGATCCGCGGTCATTACAAGTGAAAAAAGTGCATTTTTATACATGCGATTCCGTTCTCCGTTCGTACGATGTTTCAACAAAATATGGAATCATTTCAGTTGTTGATTTAGTACTGAAAATTTGACTGAATTATCTCTTATTAAATACGGTTTTATATGTTTAATTGGTGTTTAAAAAAGAGGTCAGGTGCTCTTGTTCATTCATAAAATTATCGTTCATTCATAAATTTATCGTAAAATCAAAATCACTACACAGGTTACAAAGGTTATACGTAGTGTCAAATGATTACCTGTAATCTAAAAATAGACAAACTTAACTGACTCCCCTTACTAATGAAATGGACCTGAAATTTATTTCACATGTTTTCGAAATATTGAAGATAATAATAATAATAATTAATAAATTCTTTATTCAACGAAGGTAACACATTTAACAAGATCATTTTTCACAATGTTTCCTGAAAATTAATAAATATCAAAGCAACATAGAGCTGTTTGTTCTTGTTCGTATAATGACGATTTAATGTCATGTTTGTCTGTGATGACCCCCCCTTTTCGGGATTGCATCAGAATTATAGTTATCTCGTATCGCATGAGGATGACACATATCAACTGAGCAATTATGTTTGGAACTTAGTTTTAAGAAATGATGTTAAAGTAACATTATGAAAATTTTTTTAGTAAGCTGAAATATATATTTATTTTTTACATGTTTATGTCTTATAAGATATTTTATTTCTGTCCCGTTTTTCAACATTTGCGTCTGGAAAGTTGAAATGTTTTAACTGAATGGTTAATTTAAATTAATTATGAAAATTGTTAAAATTAAATCAATAACGGAAATTATTGCCCAGTTACAAACACTACCAGGGGATAATCCATAATGATTTCTTTTTGAGTTATATGTTTCAGCACATGTATATATATATATATTATTAGCCCCAACTTTAGCCTTGTAAAACGTTGTCTCCTTGTGAAATATAAAACGTATTAAAAATGATTTCCTGCTAAAGTCTTTTATTGATATAAAGTTAAAACCTTCTTGCTTCTCACTAGACATTACTCCTGTCCTGTCAGGTTTTATTCTTATATATGTGGATAAAAAATAAAAGTCCCCAAAACATTAACATGGCAGCAATTGCTTTTACAGTCTTTAAGGCTTTGATTTTTTTTACAGAAGAGTGTCCACCATGCACTTGCACTGCACTATAATAATAGTAGAATAGAATGATATACAAATAGATGAAAATTATATATACATGCAACCGTAATATTAATATAATATATAACAACAAACCAGTGTATTCTCTGGGACTATTATTAGATAAGTATAATAGTCCAAGGTATACTGATTTGTATCACTACAATATAATAGTTATTACGGTGAGGTTGAATTTCCTGTCATTTATTCATCATCCAAGCACCAACTTGTATCAGAAAAAATTTCTCTGTAAATTAACCTCAGTTTCAGGTATAGAGATGTGATCTGTTTCTGTGACATGTGCTTTTGACCATCCACAAGAACCTGCGGTCATCCGATGTTCAGTTCTTCAGTACTTTGATTTTATATATATATCTCCGATTTGATTTGATTTTTGTGTTCACAGCATCTTTTTATATATTTTATTTTTATTTCTTGTATATCTGTCATTTAGTGAAACATTACATAATTTCAATACATATCTACTTCTTGAGTTTTAACATGTAAAATGTGCTTATTAGTATTAGGAAACGGATTAACCTAAGTTAACAACTTGTTTCCGGATCCTGTTAATTATTCAATTGTAATAATATGTTCATACTAAATTATATATATTGTTTAACTTGAATTTAATTAATAAAATATATTTATACCAATGTCATTCCTATTCTAAATCGTGTAACGATGGCACAAGTACGTTATTCGCTAAGAACATGAAGGAAGCAACTTTACATGATTTATTTAACGAAAAAATACAACACGAAAACAAACTAAGGCATAACAAATGTACGAATAAAAGATACTGACTTAGATAACAAAGATATCCTACTGGCAAAAGCTTTCCTGATAAGTTTTATTATACTGGCAAAGTGTCAACATATAAATGTATGTTAAGATCCTGTTCTCTGTCTATTTTTCGCCGGTCTTCCTCGTTTCAGATTACATTTTGGCCAACCTTGTTGTTTATTGGCTAAGCAAGATAAATAATGATGTTCCTTAAAGTTTGCACCTTTAATTTCTACCCATCCTAACTTTATATGTTCAATCTTGTATTCTTTTGGTAATGTTTTTAAATATGATCCAACATTTTGGGCGTCATACCCTGACAAGTGACTCAGTAATCTTTCTCTGATACAGTCCCCAGATTGTCCCACGTATATGATAAGTTCGTCCTCCTTTATAACAAATATTCCACTTGTTTCCGCCTCGGGTAAATCTGATACTGATCTATTCTGTGATATAAGTGAGCTGCATTGATAATCTTCACAACCACGCTTCTCCTAGAATACAACCAAAGCAAATTCTTAGAACTAATAAATAGAACGTATATTCATATCCTTACCCTATAGAAATAAGGAGTTAGCTGAATTGATAACCTTCACAAGTCAATCATGCTTCTCCTAGAATATAACCAAGGCAAATTCTTAGAAATGATAAATAGAACGTCTTTACATATCCTTACCCTATAGAGCTAACAACCACGCTTCTCCTAATATACACCCAAATCAAATTCTAGAAATAATAAATAGAACGTATATACATATCCTTACCCTAGACATTAGACGCTGCATTAATAATCCCTACAACTACACTTCTCCTCGAATACAACCAAACCAAATTCTTAGAACAAATAGATAGAATGTATTCACATATTTTTATCCTAGAAATAAGATAACTTTTCAAAGTTATCGTACTGTCTTGTTGACGAATCTACGAACTGATTCGATATCGAAAGTAAAGTAAATTTTTGTCTTCTTTTGCTTTCCATTTTCGAAAAAAATAACTATTTTCTAGAACATAGAATATATCAAGCACTTTAACATTTGATGCCTGATGTATAACGACTGATCCTCTTGATTTGATGCACAACAAACGCACGGTGTAAAAAAAATAAAGTACACACTCCAAAGTTGATAAGCCTTGTCTAAATGAGTACAGGACAACGATTGATACAAGGCAAATTTACCGACTTCTAGCTTTCAATCTTTGACAGACTGTCCCAGCAATAGTGCAGTAGTACAGAAAATCGACGACACCAAAATAACATCCGTAAAGACGTCCATGATAGGATTGATCTTTATGAGTATGTGTTTTAGATAGCTTTATTTTTTTTAATTTCTTTTTTTCTTCAAATCCACATAAAAAGTAAGAAAACAAACATTTTCGGAATATACAAAATGTAAATCGTCTACGGTCTAATATGAACTGAATTCTATAGACACAAGTTGACTGCGTTTGCCATTTTGTTTGTTTTAAAAGTAGCTGCACCTTTCTTCTTGTGTTGATTCTAAGAGCATTGTAAAGACACATATATAGATATAAGAAGATGTGGTATGAGTGCCAATGAGACAATTCTCCATCCAAGTCACAATTTATAAAAGTAATCCATTATAGGTCAAAGTACGGTCTTCAACACAGAGCCTTGGCTCACACCGTACAGTAAGCTATAAAGGGCCCCAAAAATTACTAGTGTAAAACCATTCAAACGGGAAAACCAACGGTCTAATCTATATAAAAAAAACGAGAAACGAGAAACACTTATGAACCACATTAACAAACGACAACTACTGAACATCAGATTCCTGACTTGGGACAGGTGCAAACAATTGCAGCGGGTTTAAACGTTTTAATGGTACCAAACCTTCACCCTTATCTAAAACAATAGTGTAACATCACAATATAGAAAGACACACTATAGAATATCAATTGAAATGGCTTAACTCAATCAAAAGACATATTAACACAAGTGAACATACACTAAACGAATAAATTTGATCTATGATACAATGTAAATACGTAACAAAATCAATAAAATAAGGGATGAATAATTAAACTAACAGTATTATACCGCTGTGAAATGTTAAACAATTTCAGAAAATCAACAATAACCTTAAACAAAAAATCCTTATACATGTATATATATAATACGAATCTAAATCCGAGTAACAAAATGTTATCCATGAGTTTTAAAGGGTATCAATAATGGAGAAACCGTAACTCGTGCTGCTGACTTTTACGCAATATTGAAATGGCTAGTTGAACTAGTGAACTTATGCCATCACAGAAATGAAAACACCCCATCAGAAATGCTGATTATTACAAGTTAGTAATATAACGTATGTAAATATGAATAAAAGTAAATATAGGGTGTTCATCGTTAAAACAGCAACCCAACAACCAAAGAACGTATAGAGGTCAACATCCTGTCTTCAGCAATTGATCAGTTTCTTCGAGATATGTAAAGCTTTAAATCGATTCGAGTCTAGGATAGTATTAATAAAAACCAATTTAACTATCAAAAATCAACACCCAATCTCCTAAAAGTAAAAAATAAACACACACACACATTAAGGTATCACCGAAAACCAACAGTGCATGACTAGCAATCTAATATATTGAAGTAAGTATATGTGATTTCACTATTTTAATAACCGTTTTGACGAGTTAGCGAGTTACGACACATCTGAGTTTTGTCCAGATTGACTGACGAGGTTCCTGACTTTAGATAGGTAAATGAAAATGTGGAGGTATAAAATTCGGTTTTAAGCATCCCTTCCCCCTTTAATCTCGATCAAGGAAAACATGGTACAATGAAAATCAATTCAGAAAAATCTCATAACTTTACAATAGAACGGCAATAGGCAACTAAAACACAGGTACACGTAATTTGAACACGAAAAAATATCGCATAAAAAAGTGCTCACAGGAACTGTAAGCAAGTTCAAAGTATTTAACTTACTCAAGTTAATCATAACCATGCCGTCCTTCTCTCTAATATTGAATAATTCATAAAGAAACGATTGAACATTTACTGTTTTAAATATTGATACCATAATTGGTATTTTAAAGTATTAACGTATCCAAATGAATTTAAACTTAAATGCGAAAGATAGTAAAAATTTTAACTTTATCAATAGACATTTTTCGAAAGAGCTTTAATCATTTATTGATTGATTCGTGACATATAATGTGCAAGATCGTAAACATAAATTAAAATCCACTTTTTCCTCTTCTGATTTATCGAATACTATTGTGATTCCGTAATCTTTGCTTCTTACTTTTCTTTTTCTTCTTTTTACTTCGTATAATATCCAATGAATTTGTCCGTTTTACATGCATGCTCACGGTGACCTATGGTTGTAAACTTCTATGTCATTTGGTCTCTGGTGGAGAGTTGTCTCATTGGCAATCATACAATATCTTCTTATTTTCATATCACAATATTATCATTATATATATATATTCATATTGAATACTGAGAAGACTTCATATGTACGATTGACTTGTGTCTCATCAATTTTGCTTAGATTTAGCTAATAAAATATGTTTAAACCAATCAAAAGTATGCCAGACAGGCTTTAAATCAATTTCTTTTTTAATTATGAAAAGTTTTATCAAAATATCACAGGTTTATATGTTCCAAACAATTTCATGCCTGTCAACTTAGAATCAAAACTATCATGTAAAGTTAGATTTACATGGTCGTTGACAATTCTCCTTTTAATCTATCATGACTGAAACACAATTTTCAATGTCATAATGGATTTTCTATTGCTTGAATGATAATAATGATAATAATAATAATTGTAAATAATTAAAGATTAGTAGAAATTATATCCGAGTAAAACAACAAAACATTCTATCCGTTTTCTTCAGTATTTTCTGGTGTTCAAGAAGTTTGGTCCACATAAACACATAACAAATATGCAAAAAGATCACAAACACAAAACACTGACAAACATTCAATCAAGTTGATTTGAAATCGCAAAATTGAACAAGTAAATTATTCCTCACCATCTCTTGCAATTGTCTGTACTTAAAATATCAAAATTTGCGTCAAAATTTGACATTAATATGATCATATTCCCGATTTAGGGGATTTTACGAATTCGGGAAGTCCGTATTTCTAATGAATGAGTTGAATATCCCTTCCGAGAAACGAATCGCAGAGGAAGTTATAAAAATAAATAATGCTATTTTAAAAATTTAACGTCGGGAACATTTCTATTGGACATAATGTATACGCAAATATTGGCAAAATTGTTAGTGCTAATAATAAGTAGATTGAAACCTATTTTTAGTTTCACTTTAACGGATTTACAGAAATCGATTGTATTGGCACTGATATAATTGACCTCATGCCACTAGATTCAACGTCCGATATGAGTCGTAGTCTATTTTGTTAGTGTATGCAACTTTCTACTGTTTAATACCGGAACAGGATTATCTGTTTTAGTCCGGGAAGTTACAACTTGAATAGGGATCCAATGAAATTTTAGAAGGAAGAGCTAATTAATACTTCAAATTCCTTGATGCTCTTTTTAATCCACTGCGTTTGTAAATATTGCGTTTTAAATATACATCGTAAGTTATAACCAGGTAGACACGAAACTGTACTAGATCCAGAACAGTGACCTCGTTTTTACTATACCTGTGAATCTAACTTAGATCTGATAATTTCAATTCATCAGTAATTCAACCAAATGTATATATAGGTGAACATAGAGGCTTTTTGGGGCCTTGACCTTTTTTCCTCTGCTGTAGACATTTTCAATATAATTTCAAATTATTTCTTTTGTTTTTGTGTGTGTGTTCTTGTTATTACTAAAACACACTTACTTTGCGGTATTTTATTTGTCGCCCCTCCTACTTGAAATATTTTAAAAAATAAAACTGATGATGAAAAGGAGGGGTGTCCATGTCCCCAAGCCCCTGTGTGTGTCCATCAATCTGAAATATATTTTTTTTAATTGGCAAAGAATACGACTCTACAAACAAGTGGTTTATTGTTATGCACTTGTCCACTTGAAATTAATAACAACACAATTATATATCTCTAATAAAAATTGGCAATCAGTTACCGTTCTTTCTTCGGTATATTTCACATTACCGAAGTTATTTGGACCCAAGTTTCATGTATATCACCAAATCGATTAAATTCATGTTTCTCTTCGATCAGTACGTGCACAAAATCATTTCGAAAGGAAACTTTCATAATGTACAAAGCATATTTAAGGAGTGCATATAAATACAAAAAACAACTCGTAAACAATACTCGGAAATAAAATCTCTTCCTATATTTGCTATAAATAGATCTTTTTGTTACACTCCTGTTTAAATCGGTTATTTTATGTCGCCTTATTACTTGTAGATAGTGCATGTGTCCTTCACAATAGTTTAATTTACAGATGTTCTTTCTCGTCCCACCATTTTTGCCAACACTGGAAAAAGATATTTTCCTTAATGACTTAGTAAATGATTGATTATAGTTACAAATTACAGTTATTACTACGGTTATAATTACATGTATAGAGCAAGCTGAAAATAAATATTCTCATTATTCGAAGGACTTTTCACAATTTAAATTGCTTCCAGTAAAAAAATTAAAAATACTGTGACGCAAGGGCATATTAATAACAGCCCATTTTTGGATTGCCTCTTTGACAACTTTAATATAGATGTTAAAATATACCACAGATAATAAGCGAAACATAACAGCAATAACTAATTTAAAAAATGTTTATAATATACACTAAACATATTGCACATTTGGCATTTAATGGAATTTGATAAACAGGAGTAAAAAAAAATAAGAGAGAATTCTATTAAAAGTAAGAAAAAAATAAGTCTATTGATGAAATTAATAATAAAGAACGGGGTTTGGGTGATCCTGTTGTAGTGTCGGGCCAATATTTTTTTTTTTTGGCAATTCCTGTTTTCCTTTGTTTGTATAATTAAATACAAAAATTAATCTACATGCAGCACACCGCGACAGTTCGAACATTTCATTACAAGGAATATATAATGCTTTTGTATTTAGGAGAACTGTTTTAATTAAAAAAAAGTCCTGGAGATTGTTCTACAAGGTACTATCGGCAAATGGTAAATGCTAATTTTTTTCCATAACGCGTGGTCACGAGGAATTTACAGGGTATTTCATCACTGGAATAGAATTTTCAGTTTTTTTTTTAACAAAAAAAAAAAAAAACAATCATGGAGACAAATTTGAAACAGCACATGACCCAGATAGCCTGATTTGGATATGGGATATGGCATTATGTTTTTTTTTAATCGAAAAGGTCTATACTTTACGGTAGTGTGACTAATACAGGTACTCATACTACCACGAATTAACTTTACGGTAGTGTGACTAATACAGGTACTCATACTACCACGAATTATCTTTACGGTAGTGTGACTAATACAGGTACTCATACTACCACGAATTAACTCTTTCTTAACTTTGAAGAACCACTTAGGTCAACTGTAGTTATGTCAAAAATGTCGCATTCTGATTTTTTTTGTCTTCTTTCTTTTTTTTTTTTTTTTTTTTATTCTAATCTTGTATTACATTGTCCCTGTCTTTGCTTATTATGAGATGTCCTAGTCGTGTGTTGTCCTGGTTTTGACTTATCACGAGATGTCCTAGTCGTGTGTTGTCCTCGTTTTGGCTTATCATGAGCTGTCCTAGTCGTGTGTTGTCCTCGTATTGACTTATCATGAGATGTCCTATAGTCGTGTGTTGTCCTCGTATTGACTTATCATGAGATGTCCTAGTCGTGTGTTGTCCTCGTTTTGACTTATCATGAGATGTCCTAGTCGTGTGTTGTCCTCGTATTGGCTTATCATGAGATGTCCTAGTCATGTGTTGTCCTCGTATTGGCTTATTATGAGATGTCCTAGTCGTGTGTTGTCCTCGTTTTGACTTATCATGAGATTTCCTAGTCGTGTGGTGTTCTCGTATTGGCTTATCATGAGATGTCCTAGTCATGTGTTGTCCTCGTATTGGCTTATTATGAGATGTCCTAGTCGTGTGTTGTCCTCGTATTGGCTTATTATGAGATGTCCAAGTCGTGTGTTGTCCTCGTTTTGACTTATCATGAGATGTCCTAGTCGTGTGGTGTCCTCGTTTTGACATATCATGAGATGTCCTAGTCGTGTGGTGTCCTCGTTTTGACATATCATGAGATTTCCTAGTAGTGTGTTGTCCTCGTATTGGCTTATTATGAGATGTCCTAGTCGTGTGTTGTCCTCGTATTGGCTTTTTTTCAAAAGCATTGTCTATTTGTCTACTTTGCGGTATTATAATTTCCTTTGTTTTAGATATAGGAAGATGTGGTATGAGCGCCAATGAGACAACTCTCCATCCAAGTTACAATTTATAAAAGTAAACCATTATAGGTCAAGGTACAGCCTTCAACACGGAGCATTGGCTCACACCGAACAGCAAGCTATAAAGGGCCCCAAAAAATTACTAGTGTAAAACCATTCAAACGGAAAAACCAACGGTCTAATCTATATAAAAACGAGAAACGAGAAACACGTATGAACTACATAAACAGACGAAAACTACTGTAATCAGATTCCTGACTTAGGACAGCAGCGGGATTAAACGTTTTAATGGTACCAAACCTTCTCCCTTTTCTGAAACAATAGTATAACATCACAACATAGAAAAACACACTATAAAATATCAATTGGAAGGCTTAACTCAATCAAAAAACGTAAATTAGCACACAATGAACGAATAAATTTGACCTGTGACACCTGAATGCAAATACACAGTTAATAAAAAATTAAAAGGGATAAATAATTAACGGTCAAAAGTAAATAAACAGGTTTAAACAAATTTAAAGTATGATATCACTGTGAAATGTCAAACAATTTTTAGAAAATTTTGTTTGTTTTGATATGTGTCAAGATTGTTTAGTTAATTTTGTTTATTTGACAAACGTTTTATCTTATTTTCTCACATTGCATAGTTTCAATACATAACGTACGTATGATCACGTATATGAGAAATAAAAAAAAATGTTCTACAAGTATTATGCACTAGATACACACTTAACTGTACTTCAGCTGTTTGATACAAAATGTTTGCAAATGAATTATAAAACGGATGTGCATCTACTATACATTCAATTTTGCACATATCGAAATTTTAAAAGTCAGGAAATGCTTTTATTGTAAACAACGTGATCATATAAATGATAAAAGAGACAAGCCTGTTTAGGAACGTCAGTTCAATCTCATTTAGATGTGTGTGTATCGCTCCCACATGCTATAAATGACCCTTCATTTGTGTGTGTTTTGTACTGCCAAAAAACATAATAAATTCACTGTTATTTTATTTTTTCTTCTTCTTGAATATCATCTATAATCGCATCTCATAAAGTATAACGGTTTTAAGTGAATGAAATGGTCAATCATAATAGTTATTTGTGTAGAAAAAATTATGGCTAAAATATTTCAATTTATTTCAAATCCTTTAGACACCGATTAGAGCGAGACGAACTACAGTAAGCTTTCTGACATAAATTTAAAGCCGCGTGAGCTTTTGCCATCACTTTATGTCCGTCGTTGGTTTTTAACTTTAAAATCTTCACCTCTGAAATTTCAAAGCATATATTCTAATTCAGCAGTTATGACATTGACATATGGCATGTCCTCTATAAACGAGTCTATATAAGTGTAAATTCTATGCCATGTAGCTTTGATTACGCATTTGATTTATTTTTGCATGATGGTCTTACATGAAGGGCAAAGTCTATACAATATAATAATATAATGAACGATGACAGCAACATAATTCTTTTTTTTAATCATTGATATACTATAAATAATCACAAAATGTGTTGTAAAGTCACGTCAAATGATGTATCGTACACAAACGTCTAAATATGTAACAAATTTATGTATTTTCTCACTGGGTAACATCTATTAAATATAACTATAGTATCACCTTAGGTTTTCCTATTTAAAGAAGTCAAAAACAAGTATTACGTATAGAGCATAGAGCAAGGGACTATATATCTCTGAAACATATATTAACTAATGGCCGATTTTGTCATTATCCATAATATCATACACAGAAATAGAAATACAACCCTTATTTATAACCATCAAACAGTCCTCTTCTGAATTATAAGACAGGCCCATTGGTCGGTAAATGTCATCCTTCTCTGTTCCAATAATCGTCAATAAATTGCCTTCTTCATCAAATTGGTGTATATTGTTTGATAACCACCCAGCAACATAAACCAAACCACGTTTGTCTACGGTCACACCGACTGGACCTTTCAGCGAAGTTAGTTCATGACTGAAAACAGGAATTCCTTCAGTGGTCAAAGCAAAAACGCGATTTGTACAATAGTTAGTGCAATATATCACATTTTTATTAACACACATGTAGTCAATGACAAATTCTGTTTCCATAGTTTTCTGATGTTTGCCTGTTATGTCAAAGACGGTTAGTTTTCGATAAGATGTTCTAACAAATATTGTATTGTTCGTACATGCTACTGCATAAAACGAGCCTCCACATCTGATTCGTTCACCCGGTGTTAGTGAGGGTATGTTGATAACCTGTATCCCACCTTCTCGTAGTGTCACCACTGCCCGTGAACAATCGAAAACTGCTATATCAAGTGCTTCATGCTCAAGGTAACGCTTCTGAAATGTTTCATCTTCAACGTTCAGTAGATATATACACGAATTTCTCATGTCTTTCAACAAAACTCGGTTATTGGAAATGAAACAACCACGGTTTATTTGAACGTTAACTTCAATGTCCAAAGTATCAAAACTAGATTTCAAAACGAAACTGTTTCTTTTTATCGAACAATTATTATCGATCCGCATGTTTTGGGTATCGATACAGTGATCGATACTTCGATATAGTTCGATAATTGGCTCATTTGGAATAGAACTAGCAATATCCGGGATCTCTTCATTCGTCAAAGATAATTTTTGTATAAGCTGTCCAAAAGTTGGAATCAAACTTTTCTCTTGGAGTTCACTGATTAACCCATTCCATTGAAATTCTGCATCTTGGTTTTGCCTGAGTCTGTTATTACTGCTAAGAAAACTAGCTATACCTTTTTGAATTCCACTGACTTCAATAAGTTTACGGAATGATTTCTCATTTATCTTATGTATAAGGATTTCTTGAACGCATTGCTGTAAATGCTCTATCTTTGATTTCTGAATCAAAAGATCTTGTTCATCCATTTCAGCCATGTTCAGCATTCTACCTATCTCATCATTAATAGCCAAATGAGCATCTCTTTCCATGATATCTAAAGTATGTATTATTCTTTGACGAAATGAACTTATTTCATCTTTTATTTCTTCTGACTTTTGTTTGAGAAGTAAAATATTCTCTTCTTTCGCCTTTATCGAAGTTGTAATCGTGTTTTTTAATAAGTCCGTACGTTCTTGTATGTTCTTAAGAGTTGACTGTAAATCAACAGATTCTAGTGCACTTGTTAGGGTTAAAGTTATGCACTTGTTGTGTTTATTGCTTAGGCAATTGTTGCATATCAATTGCTCGTGTTGTATGCAGATTGTGTCACCACATCTTTCCACGTCAACACTAGAGCATGAGTGCTCAATTAACCCATCACTTAATTCAGTATCCATTAAGATTATTTTGAAAAATAAATCTAGCTGTAGTCATTTACTTTAGTGAGCTATAAATAGAAAAAAAATACAATTGTTGACTAAAGAATATACCTTAAGCACCAATCATTAATCTTTTGTTGTGGGAATGCTTTTTTTAATTAATTTTGTTATTCTAAATTTCTAGAGAAAAAAAAAATGTTTAAGGAGGGAGGTGAAAAAATATATAGTTTGTTGTCATTGATAGTTAAATATTTATTATCAAACATTTCTTGTTCCTGCATGTTATTGATTTTTTGTCGGTGAATAATGGCTACGAGGCCAAGCCAATTTTTTCTATTATTTCACATTTATTTTAACGTGTATAAATGCTAAAAAGCGGCAGTTCCTCATATTCTAAATTCAAAAGTGAAATGCAAGGATGCTATAATTGCAATTGTTTACTATACATAATATTGGTTTAGTGTAAGCACTTCTTCATCGACATACATGTACATAACCAGAAAAAAATTATCCTAAATTATTTTAGCATAACTAATGTAGCCTCATCTCCCTGAAGCTAAAATGCATGAATATTGATCTACAAGAGAATAACATATATTGCTCACAAGGAAGCTAGAGTTCCAAATGGTGAAGTTGAAATCATCCTTTCAAAAATTTTACGGACGCCATAACAATTTGGTTGACCGTTATGGAATATCTGATTCACTGTTGACGACAGATATGTCCAAATCGTCGTAACCACAATCCCGTCATCCTTTTCCACGAATTTGACATACTTTTAAAATTAGACTTATCACCGGATTTGTACTTACATGATCACCACGACGGGTGCCACACTGATGTGGAGCAGGATTTGCTTTCCCTTCCGGAGCACCTGATATCACCCCGGTTTTTGGTGGAGTTCTTGTTGCTGAAGTCTTTAGTTTTCTGTGTTGTGTTTTGTATACTGTTGTTTTTCCTTTTTTGTCATGGCGTTGTCAGTTTATTTTCGCTTTATATATCATTCAACTTCGTTTTAGTAATTTCATTGAAGATTCAATCTTGTTTGTTTTTTCACTTGAACAAAATGTTCACTTTGTTAGATTAATTACTAAGTAAATCGATTAACGCAGTAACCATCGGTGCATTACATTTGCGCGCATTAACATTATATTTGCGCGCAAAAATCATTACGTTTGCGCGCATTCTTTTACACGTAAACTCAGGTAAATACAGGTAAACCATGCTTATTTTTAAATGAATGCTTTTTTTCTATTACTTTTAATTTTGAGAATTTTAAATCTGACAAGTGAACTACTCGGTAGAACGAAAATGCATGGCAGGGGCGGATCCAGCCATTTATAAAAGGGGGGGTTCCTAACCCAGGATAAAGGGTCCCCATTCAAATGCATTGATCGTCAGAAAAAAAGGGGGTTCCAACCCCCGGAACCCTCCCCCTGGATCCGCCACTGCATGGTTGTCGTGCTACTATTTAAATGGTTTTGTTTCTTTTCCAGATTACTAAATGCATTGCTAATGCGTAAAATTAACTGTTTGAAAATACCACAATTTAATAACAATGATTTTGTTTCTTATTTAGACCCGACGAAAGCAGAAACTTACGATTTCTATCTTGATACTCGCTCTCCATATCAAATCAAAATGAAGTAAATCCGAGAATTTAAGTTATACTTACTTGCAATGAAGGTGTGTACGGCTTGTAAAATTCAAAACAACATTATTGTTTGAGATCTGAATCATTATCTAACAAGTTTGGCTCAATGCCTGTACACGGTGTTAAATATGGCGTAATTATTTTAATGACTTTAATGAGGAGCGATCTGATACGAACCTATTAAATAATGCCTTAACCTTTAAACATGTTTGTTAAAATGAAATATATTTACTTATGATAGATTTGGAGACTATATATAGTAAGCATTAGGTTATCAGAGACCACCCAAGCAAGCATTAGGTTATCAGAGACCACCCAAGCATAACTAAGGAAACATTTAGAGAAAGCAATGCAATTTGTTTTGTTAAAATAATCTTTCTTGTGGATTGATTTATGCCGATCGACGATAAAACATACGGAATAATGCTGATCTTTATTGATTAAAAAACTAGATTTGGACTCTGGTGGATAGTTGTCTCATTGGCAATTATACCAAGTACATCTCCTTATTTTATAGTAAGTAAAAATTCGAGACTTCCCATTCCATTTATTTTGTTATCAAACAGTAATGAAAATGCAATGTATTTTTTGTTACAAGAACCACTTCTCGTCCGTCAGGGTTACTTCTAATCACTTGCAATGGAGTAGCCCGGACAATATACAGTCTTCAACAACAGACAGGTTTCCATTCAATATGTAAAGCTGTCGATCGTCCCGTGTCAATAAAAATTGTGAATAAATCTAACAGCAACAATAAAAAAAAATATCTTTAATACTAAAGTCTCCAAATAACGAAACAAACATCAAGATATGATATACCACAACGGACGAGGTTCCAAACTCGGGACTGATACATGCAAATGTAGTGATGTTAAATTGGTTTTCTGATGTCTCAACTTTCCCCCTTATTAACCTCAATCAATAGAGTCACAAAAAGTCCATAGAGGAACAGTATTAAACCAGTAGAGGAAAAGCACCCGACTCTTAAATAGCGGTACAATTAAAAAACAAAACCAAAAAATAAATAGATAGTTATACTGTATTGCTGAAAGCAAGCACAAAGTACTTAACCTGCTGATCAGAAAACATGCCGTCCCAAACTTAGTATCGATTTCTATACTTCATAGAAAATTTCATACAGCTTCGTCTAAATCATGTAAATAGAATACATGATCTAGGTACAATACTTCAAACACTATACATACAGACAAAACTTAAGAAACATTTTAGTATTCCTCCAGACTATAAATAAGCGAAATGGTATTATTACGAGACGCAATGATTGAACAACAAAGTATAGTTATAAACTTTATCAATAAGACTAGTAAGCCAATGAGACAGATTTGCAGGACCATTCCTAAATATGTTGGCTTTATAAACGATACTACCATAAAAAGCTGGATGCGAAATGCTACTTTCAATTAAATTCTTTCACTTAAAATCATACTTCCACATGAATACACCTCTATATTTTTTTATCGAATTTAGTAAAAGTTTTGATCAATTCTATTTAATTTCATTAAAGCTTTCGTGACCCTCCCCTTCAGAATAAAAGTGTGTGTTTTTTACTGTCATTCAACAAATATAATTTGGATAAATGAAAATAACACTTTATAAATTTGTTGTGTGCAAAGACATTTTCTGGATTTGTCTTCATCAGGAACGTGTCTTCATCAGGAACGCTCAAACGTCTTAATCGATTTATCAGATTCAAACATCAGTAAACTACTGTTACTTATATTCATAACCCCCCCCCCCCCCCCCCCAAATAAAGACAATGATGTATTAGTACTTATATGTAAACAATGTATACGTTTAGGTACTAAACACGTGAAGAGTTATATAGCCAAAAGTTCAAGATTAAAATTTGAAAGAAGGTAAATGAAGAATTTGCAGCTGCTCGTTTTAGAATGATGGAACGGATTCGTAACCCTGACGGGAGATAAGCCCATGTATGGTTACGTTATAGTATAGATCTTTGGCATCATTTGCTGTTTTATAAGTTGCTGTGAGAAATATTCTATGAAGTACAGCAACCAACATTACAGTGGAGAGTGGCATAATTTCATAACAGCAGATTAAGTAAGTACTTTGACCTGCTTTCAATGACTGCATGCTAACGTTTATTCTTTAAAATATTCATCATGGATATAAAGTTATTTGAAGTGACGTGCCTTTCCGGATTTTTATTGTATCTTCTTTTATTTATCCTTCGCATTGTTAGCCCTTTGACCGAGATTTAAAAATATCCTTATTGAGATCTTACAAAACTTGTCAGAGTCTGAGTAAACCCGTGTTATTAATTTAGTTCGTGCTGTACAATCTGCAGTTTTCCGTGTAGTGTTTTTCGGACTGTTTACTTCTCGTTTCCCCCTTTGACCATAGTGTTGTCAATCCATTTTTGATTACTATAGTAAATACTTTTTGTCCCCTCCTTGGTATGTTTTTTTTTAATTTTTTTTCTATAAAACGTTTTTGAAAGACTTAAAACATATACCGCCGTGCATTATGTGTTTGTTATACATAAATTGCCTCATTTTTTCATGAACGTGTACATAATACCATTGGTAAGGAGAAAATAGTTGTAATCTTTTAAGTGTGGACGAAAAAATCAACATGTGTTCCAAAATTACGCCGAACTACTTTGAAATGTAAAGACGAACGCATGTTTTTGTCGAAATTATAGTTTATATGGAGGCGTTCATCATTAACGAATGTCAAAACTTTCAAAACTGTTTAAGAAATATCAGGTATGAACATATCTCCAAAATTTAAATAATTTGTTATTTGCTTTGGCAATAGTAAGTTAGGTACATTTTTGTTACATGTTTTTCCCAAGATACTTCTGATCTTTATCCTACATGTATCCTTTAGAGTTAGAGGATTGGTTGAGTAGACCTGTAAAAGTTCTATGGAGTCTTTCAAACAATCTAGCTTGTCAGCATGGTGCCTTTCAATAATGTCAACAGTTTGCTTGGGTATTGTAGCCCCTGCTGCGTAAAACAATTTAATAATGTTAAAGATTAGAGTAGGATCTAAGATGGAGGTCAAAGCCGCAGTAAGAGGTGTCAGTCCTATATCATCCACAGCATTCACGTTAGCTCCATGTAGTATAATGGTCTTAACTTTGTTTATATCTAAATTTTGTGCTGCGTAATGCAGGGCAGTGTCCCCTGTTGCACTTGCTATTGATACATCTGCATCCCAAGACAACAGCTTATCAACAACTCTCAGTTCAATTGATCTCGACATGCAAGCGACATGTAAAGGTGCTAGTTCAAAAACTGTTGATGTTCTACGACTGTTTACATCTATTCCTAAAGTTCTCGAATATTCCATCATGTCTATATGATTAAAGTCACATGCATAACTTAGATAATCCCCCGGTCGCTTACGAATATCTTCTCCTTTTTCCAAGAGTAGTTTCAGGGCCGGAATATTTCCCCTGCTAATGCACGTGATGATTGGCATGTTATTTGGATAGTCAATACGACATCCATACTTAGCCAAAATCTTAATGAGTTCAAGATTTCCAAGACAGCAGGCAATCACAAGTGCAGTTTCACCGGTATCCCTATTAAGTGAGTCATAATCAGCACCCTCCTCTAACAAACATTCAACAATCTCAATATTTTCCCTGGAACATGCTAAATGAATCGGAGATTCACCTCCAGCATTTTGGACGTCTTTATAAGCCTCAGCATCTATCAATTCCTTTACAATACTCGTATTGGTGTTACATCTTTGCTCTTTATCGCAAGCTAAATGCAGAGGCATTGTACCATCCATCTCAATACGCAAATTTGGATCAGCACCATAGGAGAGTAGAAGCCTTATGATGTCTATGCTATCTAATGCAGAAGCTGAACAAAGAGGTGTTCGGATATTGTCCGTATAATTGAATGAAAAGTTAGGGTCATTACCGGCCTTTTCCTGGAGGTAAATGTATTCCACTTGTTCGCGGTCGCCATTATGTATTGCTGTTAGCAGTAAGTCAAAAGCATCAAAAGCCATTTTATCTAAAAATAGTATTTGGAAATAGACAATGACTTAAGTTGCACATGCATGCTTTGTATTGCACAGTGAAATACAAATGATATGATTTCAGTTTGCGCAAAACTGAAATCAAAAAGAGGCCGAGTAGAGAATCAAATAACATTGTGCAGCTCCGTGGCATAAAGTTGGGAAAGTAAAAATATAAAACGTTCATGGGCATTAAATAAAAAGAGATTTTAGAAAAAGATAAAATTGAGAATGGAAATGGGGAATGTGTCAAAGAGACAACAACCCGACCAAAGAGCAGAAAACAGCCCAAGGCTACCAATGGGTCTTCAACACAGCGAGAAAATCCCGCACCCGGAGGCGGGATTCAGCTGGCACCTAAACAAAAATGTGTACTACAGTTCAGTGAAAATGGACGTCACACTAAACTCCGAAACGTATATATTCGCTGGAATAACTTGACATGATGATGCCGATGATAATTTTGTTTTCAGACCCAAATAGTCGATATATATAACATAAAGATAGTGATCACCTCTACATTATATACATGTTATGTCGTCTACTCTTAACAGAATTTTCTGTGATCCTTGGACGAATATATTTTAGATTATAGCAAAAAAATGTAGGAGGGCTGACTAAATGGTTACGTCGGTGTACATGTATACGATTCAGACACAAGAGCTAGACGACCGACACGACTATAATTTAGAAAGCAAGCTAGATCAATGTATATTCGGTGCTACCATTAAACAAGTTATAAAGTCTTCAGAATAGGCAGGAAAAATAGGTTGAATTTACAGTGAAATACGGCAAAAACTTTTTGCCTGGTGTGACACATGTGTACACAAGTTCGGGTACTTGATTTCATTAAAATCATCGTATCTATAGGTGACATAGGTTTTCTGTTTTCAGTATACGGATGTTGATACCATACCGTACATATGTTATTAGCCACACTTGCTTTGTGTATATATTATAAAAAATAGTTAAGCTGCTTTTTATATTTAATTAAAAAAGTAATATCTCACTTGATTTTTTTTATGTTATTTGTTTTAATCTCAAATTATAATGTTATTGTCATGTTAAATATCACAGGTATGCCCTTCGGAGCCCTTAATTAGAATAAAAATATTCTTCTTATTATGTTTTCTTGGCGCTAACGGTTCAGTATATATAATATAGTGTAACTTGATAAAAAAAATATACAGGAATGGAAAGGACGTCAATATATTTTTATCCTGTGAGTAAACTCCTGTGTGATGCAATAATCATGAAATTACCATCCAATATACTGTTTCAGCATGTTCAGTATATATAGATCCAGAAACATATATATACAATATGTCTTCTAATTTTTTAAGTATAAATATGTCTCTGCTAGACACATACAATTTTTCAGTAGCCTTGAGGACCTATATAGGCCTACAGATAATCGTATATGGTGCACATTGCTAGTACCAAGGATTATCCTTGCTAGTACTAAACAAACAAAACTTGGTGCCAACGTTAATAATTTAATACAAATAGCCAGGCAGTACGAAAAACAAAATATAATCACAATGATAACAAAATAACCCCTTACATAGTCCCTGTGTATTAAAACGACAGTATACTTTTATGTTCGTTGCAGTTTCAAGAGTTCTACTTGAATTATTGGGTGCTTAATTGCACCACAATATATTTAAAACATTTAAAATTTTACTTTAATACCTTGAAATGATATATAGATTTAAATATGAAATCAAACCAACTTACCGCTGAGGTACTAAAGACAATAATTATAATGTGTATGGTAAAATAATTACAATAATACTGAAGAACAAGGTACGGAATGCTACCGACGTTGACCCTTAAACTAAAAATATAGGTGAAGTGGGAAAATAAGTCCAAAGGTTGATTCGATGTTTTCACCATAACTGTGGGGTTCTTTTTTATTTAGTTTCTTATGAAAGCAGCACCTATTTAAAGTTATATGAAAACTCACACAAGAGCATATTAAAAACATGACATGATTGTTACTATTTTAGGCATATTTACACCTAGCACCGTTTGAATGTAAACAATCACACACGTGGATTGTGAAAGATCAAAAATGCCAAAAGAAAAGACAGTTAAGAAATCTAGACAGCACCAGGCTGTCCAAAAGCAAGGTACGCATACAATAATGTCAAGTTCTATTAAATTTCAAAGATGATGTCCATTTGTAGTATACGGTATGGGTTTTGCTCACCGTTAGTGAAACACAGAACAGGTTGGGGAAGACCTCCATAAACAATATATATATATATTTATTCAAGATAAAAAGGCATGAATTTGACAGATACAAAATATTACAAAGACATAGATACAGCACTAGACATAGTTTATAGGCACTAAAATGATATACATGTTTACTAAAAATTTTAAATTAAGAAATAAAAAATAAAATTATGAAAATTTTCATGATATTTTGATAATATGATTAGACTAGATTAAAAATGAGTGAAATTTAACTTGACTAGATTTTACACTGTAGCCTAATATCTTAGGATGACCCACAAAAGTTAGTAGAACCATGGAAGTATTATATTGACAGGAACTCCAACGAAAAATTAGCACATTCCCATCCCACTGATTTCTTTAAGAAAATAAAAGGTTCCGACTCAGTTTGTCAAGTACGTGATAACTCTATTGTGGGGTATCTGTGATGCCGCCTTCGCCTGCTCTTTTAACTGAAGCTGGTCTTATCACGTGATTTGGTATCGATTGTCTTATCTACCTACCAATGTAAATAAACACGGAAACTCCCGTGGTTATTTGTGAATCGCCACATGAATAACAACACCTGTTTCCGTTCAATAAATGAAGAACAAAGCTGAAAAGATTGAAAAAATCGGTCCATATTTAACAGAATGACATAAGAAAATTAACTGCATTCGGAAAGAGGGCAAGCTTATTTTTAGTTTTGTTGAGTATGTTTTAATCATTGGAACTTGGAAATCGGGAAATATCCGATTATGAAAATTACATGATTCTGAAGTAGTGCTTTTGCAGAAAATAATGTGATGCGCGTGTAGTGAGCCGGATGGTGCCTGATAACTCAAATTTTAAGTTAAAGATTGTAAACTTTTATCGAGTGTAACACAAATATTTATGGTTTTCTCTATCGTAAAATGTTATTAACTTATTTATCAAATATGTTTTAAAGACTAAAAGAGGTTAATAATTACACGCATGTGATGACCTCTACATAGCAATATCAGGTTACGAGACATGCAGATGAATTGTTACACCTTTTATAATTAATCCGAAGTTGTAAACAACCTTAAACATTCAACCTAGTCCGAGATTACTCTTTAATTTTTACGGATGGCTTTAAATATTTCTGGATGCATTTAAAGAACGATCACCATGATGATGGGCCCTAAGCAGTTTAAATTTTTAGAATTTATTTATGTGTTTAAAAGCTGAACAGTTCTGAAACATCTTACACCGTATGCTAAGCAATTTATGTTTTTGTTTCTTGTTTAATTGCATGAAATATTTGCCATTGGACTTTCAGTAAACAATAAATCAAAATATTTGATATTTTTTTCGGATCAAAGCTCTTTAACCCCGTCCCCCCGGCCAACTTTTCAGTGGATTAAATTTTTGTTAATTGGAAATTCTTTCATTAAACACTTCAGTAAAATATTTGTCAAAGTTAGCAGTAAAACGCGATAATAATTACTGATAAAAACTTTTCCATTTACTTTTCATGAGAATTTTATGATTTTCAAGCCTAACATGTATATAACAGTTACGCGTGTTTAGCCAATGGCCCTCTCATGAATAAAAATCTTACTATTTTAAAATTGATTGTAACTTAAACTGAAATGTTTATGGCTTGTGAGTATTTTTACTCTTCAGTTTTTTTGTTTTTGTTTTTTTAAACGGTGAAAACAGTCGCGGGGATTTCGTTTCTTTTCTTTTTATTTGTTATTAAGCAGCAAAACCCGTAAAAACTGACATTATATTTGTAATTCACATGGTCGGCAAATGTCATTTCCTTGACAATTAAGTACACATCCGGTTATTTCGGTATGTTCCGTAATTACGATCATTCACGAGGTTCCAAAAATTTGATCAGAACCCATGCATCCATAAGACATGTCGAGTTAATTAACAGATACTTAACGATTTTGCGGCATCGCACTATAAACGTTTGAAGTCCGCTTGTTGGAGTTCCTGTCAATATAATACTTCCATGGTAGAACTTATTTCCAGTGGGTCCTTTTATAACGAGACTTCCAGTTTACACCAAGGGTTGACACATAGAAAATACAAGCACAAATCATTTAGAATTTATCGCAGATAAATGGTCAAAGCCCCAGTATAATTAATAAAAAACAAATTCACTATTAAAGATGGATTTAAATTTATCCATCAAAAATTTTTTCACCTGCACTTTAAAATTATATTTTTTAGAGCAACTTTTAATGATGTCCGGTAACGAATTCCAGTCTTTTATTCCATTATAAAAGAAAGTGGTAGATTCACACCCTTTAATTCCTGGTATATAAAAGTTTTTACTACTAGATCTTGTATTGAAAGATGTTTCATTTTTAACAAAATTAGTATGTAAATAATTTGGGCATATATTGTTAAAAATGTTAAAAACATGATTGAGTCTTAGTTGTTTGACTCTATTACTAAAATTTAAAAAGCCCAATTTCTTGAATTCAATATATGTCACACTCTTTCTGGGATGTAATTGCAGAATAAATCTCACAATCTTATTTTGTGCCACTTGAAGTTTATTCTTCATTTGTTTTGATATGCCTTCATACCAGCATGCACATGCATAGTCAAAATGACATTGAATCAGGGAAGAGCACAATGTTTTCCTAGATTGAAAATTTAGACACTCTTTGTTTCTATATAAAAATTTAAGCCTTTGATTGACTTTTTTCACTATAGAGTTGACAATAAAATCACCAGTTAGAAACTGATCAATTATTATTCCCAAATATTTTACAAAAGTTTTGGATTCAATATTAATACCATTACAGGAGATAGCAAAATCACCCGGTATTAAAGACCGAAGTTTTCGACCAGGACCAAAAATTATACTCTCCGTCTTTCCCAAATGTAAGGACAATTTATTGTCAGTTAACCAATCATGGCATGATTCCAGCATTCTGGATAATTTATGCGAGATGACCCCAGGGTCTATATGGGAAAATAAAATTGCAGTATCATCTGCATATATCAAAACTTTACAATCTGAGTCGATGCTAGTTTGAACATCATTGACATAGATCAAAAACAATAGTGGACCCAGTAAGCTACCTTGAGGGACACCACATGTAATATTACACACTTCTGAAATCACCCCATTAACACTTACAACCTGTTTTCTGTTTTTTAAATATGACTCAAACCAAGGTATAGATCTAACCCCAATTACTTCTAATTTGTCACATAATATCTTGTGATCTACTGTGTCAAATGCCTTCTGTAGGTGTAATAGGACCATGCCTGTAAAAAGACCTTTGGCTGTTTGAGCTTTAATGTGATCTATCAAGTGAATGAGACAAGAATCAGTTGAATATGAACTTCTAAATCCTGATTGAAACTCAAATAATAAATTATTTGAAATCAAAAATTTTTCAAGCCAGGAATAACCATTATTTAGTGGAATATACCTCAATTCACGTGTAATCCACCCTGTTGACATTTAGTGAGATTGACCAAATGAGGTATAATGTAGTTTTTATCACAAAATTTTGTTAAGAGATATTTGAGTAATCCCTTTCGGGATTCAGTATTCGAAGTGATTTTCTGATTTGAATGCCCTCAGAAGTGTGTGTGTCATCTAATTTTATTCAAATCTTGTCCAAAAACATTTGGTTTCAGGACAATAACTTTAGTTTAAGTGTATGGATCTCTATGAAATTTAACCAAAAGGTTCAATACCACAAAAGGAAGGTTGGGATTGTTTTTGGGGGTGAAGGTCCCAACCGGTAAGGAATTAGGGACCAAAAAGGGACCCAAAACAAGCATTTTTCTAGTTTCAGGACAATAATTTGTGTATAAGTATTTTGATTGCTCTGAAATTGTACCACAAGGTTTGATACCACAAGTAGTAGGTTGGGATTCATTTTGGGGGTAATTGCCTAAATTTACCATTCAGGAATTAGGGGCCAAAACAAGCAATTTTCTAGTTTTCAGACAATAACTTGTGTTTAAGTGTATGGATGTCTTAAATTGTACCACATTTTACAAAAAGAAAATTTCTGCAAATATTATTTTTTTGGAAAAGGGGGGAGGGGGTAAAAAAAAAATTTCAGGGGGGGGGGGCAATTTTTTTCCCTTAAGATTTAAGAAATTATCAATTTTCCAATAAAAAAAATTGGGGTTCACAATTTATTTTGCTTATTCTTTGTATATAGTCTGAAAACAGATTTACTACATGTAAGTAATGCGCAACAGCACAGTGTATTGCACAACGGCAAGAAATCTTCAATTGAATATAAATTCAAATCTTATAACCAATTTCAAGTTCTTTGACTACATTTATTCTGTGTCAGAAACCTATAATGTGTCATATATTTAACTACAATCCAATTTCAGACCTGAATCAAGCTTGAATATTGTGTCCATTTTTGCCCCAACTGTTCAGGGTTGAACCTCTGCGGTCGTATCCAGCTGCGCTCAGCGAAACAGTTTATTTAATCATGCTTTAGTTTGTGTATTGCTATATAATAAACATGATAAAGATATTAAGTTTTTTATTTTGTTTAAAAATAAAGTGATATTCTAAAATTGTAAACCGGTTTTGTTTTGTAATTTATTTTGACAAAATGAATAATGAATGTTGTCACGATGATCAAAGGCCAAGTCAATCATCTGTAAGATTTGTAAAAGAAAGGCAAAGATACCAAATGGCTATCAAACTAGTAACAATGACATTGCTACAACAATATGAAAAAAGAAAAAAACGGCTACAAAGCACCTGTCTATTAGGTGCATTACCATGAGGGTTTGGATTGGGATTACAGCTTGAGAATAGTGGACCAATACTCAGAAAAAATGGGCCCAAAAAATAAAGAATGGAGAAAAATACGCCAAAAAATTTAAGTGCAGATTAATGGGGTGCTAAAATATTAAAGAATACAGAAAAAATTAAAGAATACAGAAATGAAGGACCCAACATCCAAACTCTATACCATTATACTTTGGTTTACGAGGAATTAAGATATATAAATGCCCTCTACCATGTTTGGCGTTGTTGTATACCATACTTGTCCAAACACACACGAGATCAAAGGGGCCAAGTTGTTAAAAACAGTTATCTTTCATGTTTTCTATTTAAAATCTTCATTGTTTTTACTCCTACCAAGCTAACTACTTGTATTTTACTTTACACTAAAGCTAGTTACATGTATAACAGAAATCATGATTTTCAAACACATTACAATCATATGACAATAATACCAAATAAGCTTTGTAAATACCAATTAGTAGTAATCATAAATAATTAACAGTTGATAATTAATCATCTTATCACCCCAAAAAATATTTCATTTAAAATATATATTGGCAGATTTAACATTGTTGTGCTGATATTTAGAGCAATTATGAATATAATATGTGTTTTCAGCCGTGTATCACCTTCTCTGGTGATCCAATAGATGGATCTGTCGTAGAGTTGCCACTTGTTTAGACGTACTTGTAAATATTTTGATATATACATCTGAAAATACATATAATAATTCAACCTGTGTTTGAATAAAAATAGGGGGCGAACGTGTGGGGTGCGAATGTGTTTTGGGAACAGACTCGATACCTTTGTTTTATATGTCAGGATTTTCAGCTGTGTGCGTAGATTAAAAAAAAAACAATAGGAATACAAATATTTGACTTTGGTTTATTATTGTTGTTTCTATTGCAGAAAACTAAATTATAGATTTGTTTAGTAATTTTATTTATTTTCTTAATTTCTTTTTTTGTCATGTTGTACAGCCTAGACAGTATACAATGCATACATAGCTTTTGATGTAACTAAATTTGAACTACATATTTCCAGTGGAACTGTTACATACATATAACTTTTTTTGTTTTAATTCCAGGAATTAATTTCAACAAAGACTTCGGGCAGCATATTCTAAAGAATCCATTAATTGTCACAAGCATGGTTGAAAAGGTAAAAGCTTAACTAAAAAGTTTTATTTTATTATGTTTTCAATGAAATATTAATCTTACTGATCAATCATTATCACATTCACTGTTTGATTGATCAGACAATAAAGAAAGATCACTGTTTGATTGATCAGACAATAAAGAAAGATCACTGTTTGATTGATCAGACAATAAAGAAAGATCAGACTGATCTCAAGAATCCTGAGAGCCAAAAATGTTTGAGTGGAAAACAGTCCATTTAAATATAATACCATGAATACAGACTTAATTTTTTTTTCATTTAGACCATACATCTATAAGACAACATTTTAACTGTATAATTTCAGGCAGCATTAAGACCAACCGATGTAGTGTTAGAAGTTGGTCCTGGTACTGGTAATATGACTGTTAAATTGTTAGAAAAGACAAAAAAGGTAAATTATTGCTGATTTCAAATAACTTATTAGACCACCTTCGAGTTCGTTGCATGTCCCTCAAAAACTCTTAGTTTTAGTGAAAATCATTCGTGCATTTAGGGGCATTGTCACTTCCTTCCTATGTTGAGCGAGCGGTTGAAAAAATATGATGCTATATTGCACAAATTATTCGGCAAATTAAATTCTTGTAATTGATAATCAGCACTGCTGTCATTAGGGAATTGTGATTAAGTACCTACGGAACAAACATTATTTCTAGTTTATCCTGCATAATGATGTTTGATGAACTTTAATAGTGCAGGGATACAGGGCGATCCCCTCTATCTGGTAAATGACGTCATAAAGGCACACATAATTGACGAACTTTTCGGGTGGTCTGTTGATACATTTAGAGAACTGAACATTGCAATCAGCTTAAAATACTTTTGCAAACTCCTACGAAAAATATAAACCACTTTTTAAAAGGGTTCAGCCTTGCCCTTTGAAATTGATGTTACGAGGCAAACAGAAAAGCAACTTCATGCAGTTGTGTGTTAAAACATTGGATAATGAAACTGCTAAGATAACACATAGGTGTAACAGACATGTACAACAGACACAATTTAAAGGGATGATCATTTTACACATCATGTACAATGCATTTAAACAAATAAGTGAGTTTTTTTTTATTCTAAACATTGTGGTTAATAAATTGCAATTAAAACAGCAAAGCATCCACACAAATTTACATCCACTTTATTTGAACATTGGTGGATAATTGTCTCATTGGCAATCATACCACATCTCCTTATTTTTATAAATTATTTTGACATAGACAATGGGACATAGCTATATATGGTTATTTAACACGTCATTTCAACTGTCAAAATCTGTCAATTGGATTCTTGAAAATAAAAGTTGTAAATTGAAACTCTAATGGGTTTGTTATTTTTTTTATTTCAAAACAATTAGATATTTTACCAAGGCAAATGAAAAAAAGGATTTGTGTGCAGATTCTCCTTGTATTGCAAGTGGATAACAATAACTTTTCACTCAAGATAGTGTAAAATTTTTACATTGTCAACATCAATCAAATATACTATGTGTACTCTATGAACATATTGGATTTTCATGATACCTATCGAGCATAATGGACATTTTTGTCAATTTCTGAAGACAAGATAGATCATACTCCCCGCAACATCATATGCAACATCATATGCAACTTTTTGTTATTTCTTGCTAGAATTTTGATTTTGTTCAAACTTTCACACAAAAAAAGGTTGTTTTACTTTGTTGAATTTACATAAGATTTCTCATTTTGTGCTGGATTTGTCAACATATTTTACCCCTATTTACTGGTACTTGGTAAAGCTTACTGGGCTTTAATTTTGTTTTAAAGACACTCATAACATGACACTCATAACATGAGGGTAACAAATATTTGTTTTGCTCTTCAAAGTGATGCACTGATATCATACAGAAATGTAGAATAGTAATTATTAATAACTGATGCATGAATACATTTATTTTAAGGTGATAGCATGTGAAATAGATCCAAGACTTGCTGCAGAGTTACAAAAAAGAGTTCAGAGCACGTAAGTTAATGTAAAAAAAATATCTTTCTGAAAACATAGTTAATATGGCTAAATTTGAATACAAGGCACATGCATGGATAAGGGTTTTGTTTTTTATTGAATTATAATTGGAATTTGAACTTTTCATTTAAGATTTCTCTTTGTGTGGTGTTAAAGTTAAGAAAGTATTAATATTAAAAATAGGGTTCTCTTGGCCTAGGAGTGATGACATCACAAAAGAGATCATTCTGATTTCAAAGACAAGCCATATTTGGGGGAAATTTATTGATTTTTAATATGTTTTTTTCTTCTTCAATTTTCCGATAAAATAAGAATCAAGACCATACAAAAACATACTAGATGATTTATCATTGGCTTTTGCATCTATCCTTATGGGAATTCCCTTCTTATATAGATATAGGAAGATGTTGTATGAGTTCCAATGAGACAACTCTCCATCCAAGTAACAATTTATAAAAGTAAACCATTATAGGTCAAGGTACGGCCTTCAACACGGAGCCTTGGCTCACACCGAACAGCAAGCTATAAAGGGCCCCAAAAATTACTAGTGTAAAACCATTCAAACAGGAAAACTAACGGTCTAATCTATATAAAAACGAGAAACGAGAAACACGTATGAACGACATAAACAGATGACAACTACTGTACATCAGATTCCCGACTTAGGACAGGTGCAAACATTTGCAGCAGAATTAAACGTTTTAATGGTACCAAACCTTCTCCCTTTTCTGAAACAATAGTATAACATCACAACATAGAAAGACACACTATAAAATATCAATTGGAAGGCTTAACTCAATCAAAAAACGCAAATTAACACACAATGAACGAATAAATTTGATCTCTGATACATGAATGCAAATACATAGTTAATAAAAATTATAAGGGATAAATAATTAAGGTCAAAAGTAAATAAACAAGTTTAAACAAAGTTAAAGTATGATACCACTGTGAAATTTTAAACAATTTTTAGAAAATCATTACTTTTGAAAAAACCTGCGTCATCTATTTACATTCTATTTTCCACTCATAAATTTATCAAAACTAATATCTTAAATGATTTTTTTAGCAAAAACTCTATTGTAATTGTCCTCTATTTAGCTTTAAAATCTTAATGAATTATTATACATGTACAGTACCAGTAATATTAAAACAGCATCTATATGTATTTAATATTTTTTAGGAAAGTTCATAATGTTTTGAAATACATGTACTTCATTTCATAGGCAAAATGAGACAGTTAAAACATTTTCTCTTTTCTGAAATGAGTTTATTATTTGACAACAACAATTTAAAACTATTTTAAAAATTGATAAAAAATTCAAAATCTTTGCACAAAGGACATTTCCTCTAACATGATTTAGCACCTCTTTAGATTTAGATGACCAGGTTAAGTGTTTTCATTAAAATCTTTTTGTTTATATTAGTCATATTGTTACATGCAAATACTTTTTCTGATTCTTACATCATTTTCAGCTTGATATGTTTTAAAACTCATACAAAAGAACAGAAATAGTTATGATATTTGCTGAAATTGTCACTCTATTTGTTGCCACTTGGCATATTGCCAAAAACTTCTCTAACCAAAACTTGCCATAAATAGGGGTAAACCATGTATGTGAATGACAAACTGTTAAGATCACTGATACATGTACGTGTCAAACTAAATATGGAAAATCTCAGAGAGAAATTGTAAGATAAAAATTTATAGTGTTATAATTATTTTTGTTTTAATTTCATTATAGTCCCAGTCAGAACAAACTACAACTAATGATTGGAGATGTTTTGAAGACAGAGCTACCATTTTTTGACGTATGTGTAGCTAACTTGCCATACCAAATCTCATCACCTTTTGTATTCAAACTCCTCCTACACAGACCATTCTTCAGGTACTTGATCTGTAATATGTGCAGCATATAGAAACAGATCTCTTTAGATAATTATTACCATACACATCATTCTTGCATTTCTTTTCAATTATTTATTTTGTTTGCATGTCTGATATGTGTATGTTTGATAACAAGCAACCTATAAGGTATTTATGCATCACAAATAGTATTTAGAAAAAGGTATGACTACCATCTGTAAATAAACAAACATTTCTGTAGGTCATGGAAAATTGTTAATGAAGAATGCCATGTTACAGAACTATTTAATAAAAGATTAATTACACAAAAAGCTTATGAGAACAACCAACATTTCAGAAGAAAAAATATTCTTCTCATAGATAAAATAGGTAAGAAAATGTAGCACATATTTTATTAGAATGTATTAACATGATTAATGACATAATAAAAATTAAACTAAGGATGAAAAAATAATTTTAAAACGTATGATGTGTTTTTAATAGAATCAGCTTTGTTCATGTAATTCCACTGATTAAAATATTTGTAGATGTGCTGTGTTGATGTTCCAGAGGGAGTTTGCCCAAAGACTTGTTGCGCAACCAGGAGACAAACTATACTGTAGGCTGTCTGTAAATACACAGCTGTTAGCTAGAGTTGATCATTTAATGAAGGTTTGTATTGAAAACATGATCTAAAGTTCATCCTGGTCTTCTATGATCTATTGAACACCAGCTGCAGCTAGAGTGATATTTAAGAAAATTTGTATTAAAGTGGATGAGGTTTCTGAAGAAAGAAATGTGCTAAATATTGGAAATTTTGTTAAAGCTTTAGTTATTATTAATTCTAATATGACGTGCTTCTTTCGCTTTGTAAACAACACCGTGATAAAATTCTCGATATATCTTTACTTAGCGCAGACTCAGAGATATACATAATCATGGATGGTGTAATATACCTCCCACGTAAATCCACATGTATTGGAACCTATGTGCAAGCGCTTTGCCGATTTTATTGTTTTAAAAATTGTAATTAAAAAAGACAAAAGAACTTTTATTCTTATTTGGATGCACAATAAAAAGAATTAATGCACAAGAGCTGGGAAAAATCAACAAATTCAAAATTAAATAAAATTCCGTGAAAGTCTATTAATGTTTTTGGCGCATTTAAGTCATTTCAAAATATGACGTCATACAAATGAAAACACTAGAGTTGAAGGTTTTCCGTTACGTGAATCATCGAAATTCGTATATTATTGTATTAAAATGGATTTTTGAGGTAGGTTTTGTTTTATTTTCTATTCTCTTGCATTGTTCGCATATTTACTGATTTCAGCAAGTCAACATGGCGGCTCCTTAGTTACGAAATGTCAACTTTGTATTTGACAGTAGCTTCCAAGAAAAATAAAAATGGCAAATGTTGGGTTTGAGAATTAAAAGAATTAAACAGATATTTTTCTAGCGGTTATTCACGAAATAATCAATGCAAGCTACAGATTTATTAGAATGTTGGAGGTCTAGGCTAACAGGGAGTAAAAAAGAACAGCCACACACACGGCATAGTCATCCTCGCTTCAGTTTTTTAATGACCGTATTTGTCCTATTAGAATCGAAATAATTCATGGAAGCCATAGATTTGTTGTCAATTTACACATGGCCTGGGCCATGTGTAAATTTCCAACAAATCTATGGCTTCCATGAATTATTTCTTAAACAATCTTCTCATACAAATTAATAACTACCATTAAATGTCTGAGACTATTCAAAATAAACATTTGAAACTTGATAGCAGGTGACAGTATATAATGTAGTTGTGCACCTTTAAAATTTAAATGGGGGAACAATCATGGATTTCTTGCTGTGCATATGAAACTAAGGCGTAGTAAAATAAAATAATAGTTTATTACAAGAAATACAAATATTCGAATGATCAAAAGTTTGAATGTTCAAAAGTTCACAATGGTCCATGATCGTATAGAATTCAATGTTAACCTGTACCGAATTCCGATGGTAATGAAATGCTTGTTTCTCTTACCCACAGAGGGGTAAGACTGGTGGAATTCCCTTCTTTCTTTCATAGTCCTTTTTATATCATCTTATGTTACTGTTATTGTACAAGGTTAATTTGTCGGTAGGATCCATGTAGTACACGTATGACTGTCAAAATTTATATTCTATTAAAGTACACATTTGTCTGTATGTAATAAAATATTGTTTCTGTCCAAATTGGGTAACACATAAAATTTAAGATAATTTTAAATTTCAAAACATCTGTTTGTTCTCTTTTTATATGTTAGCCCACTTGTCAAAATTAAGCTCCTGAACGTATATGATCTTATTCAGACTCCAGTCTGTGGCCAAATTTTTTTTTGCAAATTGCAATTTCAGTAGAAGATACATGCATAACATCAATAGTCTGCTCAGAGCTGAAGATTGTTGTGTACATTTTATTTTATTGTAATACCTGGTTCCTCTGAAACAAACTGTATAGAGAGCATTAGAATCTTTATCACATAAACCAGTTCAGTGCTTAATCTCAATACCCAACAGACCAAAAAGAAACATTAACTGCAATGAATTTTCAATTAAACATTAAGCTTATGTATACTTATTGGACCTTGCTGAATTATGTCATTCTGTAAACAAAGGTCTAACGATTTTTGAGAAACCTGACATACATGTTATGATGTTTGATGGAAGACAAGATATTTGAGCAAAATACAAGTATGAGCAATTTGTTTTTACTTTTGCAGGTAGGAAAAAATAACTTCAGACCTCCACCAAAAGTAGAATCTAGTGTAGTCAGAATTGAACCAAGGAATCCGCCACCTCCTATTAATTTCCAGGTGAGTCATATTCTTCCACCATAGGTTTTTTTTTTTCACTTTTAACTGGGGGAGTGGTATGTAGGGATTCTTATGTCTGTTTTTTTGTTTGTTGTCAGTTTGAAGATAATTAATGGAATGGTGCTTGACCAATGTTTTAGAATTTTAACTAAAGGTTTTATAACGCCAAATCAGATTATGTTTGAATTTTATTAACATGAAAGTAAATGTTAACTCAACATTTACTAATAAACCATGAAAATGAGGTCAAGGTCAGATGAACCCTTCCAGACAGACATGTTCACCTAACAATCATTCCATACACCAATTATAGTTGACGTATTGCTTATAGTATCAGATTAACAGACAAAACCATGAAAACTTAACATTGACCAATGAACCATGAAAATGAGGATGAGGTCAGATGTAACCAGCAAGTCAGATATGTACACCTTGCAATCATTTGACACACCAAATATAGTTGACCTATTGCTTATAGTATCTGAGATAGGGACTAGACCACAAAAACTTAACCTTGATCACTGATCCACGAAATGAGGTCAGATTTTTAGACCTTGCAAGGATCTCATATAGTTATCCTATTACTCATTATAAATAAGTAATTCACATTACAAAACATGAGGTCAATGACAAAGAAGATATAAAAGACGGAAACTTCTTAACTTAAGGCATCTGCATACAAGGTATTTAAAAGCATCCAGGTCTTATACCTTCTGAAATATAAAGCTTTTTACAAATAGTTTATGCTGTCCCTGCCAGATTGTAATCACTATGTCTCGCATATTGCAACTTTTGTCGTAGACGAGACAATACATGATCCGGATTTTCTAATTTTAAAAACTCTCAACAAGTGTATGATAGCTGTATTAAGGTGTATATTAAACATGTTAAATGGATACATACAGAATCCTGTATTAAGGTGTATATTAAATGGATATATACAGAATCCTGTATTAAGGTGTATATTAAATGGATATATACAGAATCCTGTATTAAGGTGTATATTAAATGGAAACATACAGAATCAATTATTGGGGTTTATTTAATGGATATATACAGAATTCTGTATTAAGGTGTATATTTAACGCCTTTTTGTTTTTTTGTAGGAATGGGATGGTCTAGTCAGAATTTGTTTTTCTAGGAAAAATAAAACTCTTGGTGCAGCTTTCAAGTAAGTATATCAGAACATATATATTATTGGGAAATATTCTATTCCCATTTATTTTTCATGTGACAGAACTCCTGCTAAAAAAAAATTAAGTACAGTAAGCTTTGACAGATGTTGTAATTTTTTGCTGTAATGACGTCAAATTATTAAAAGGGACCATAGTATGATGGGAAGCAGATATTCATTAAACGTTATTCACATGGTAACTATAATGTTATGTTAGAGGTACATTTTATGATATTTGATGAGAAGGATAAGACCTCAGAGGAACTAGATGCTGCACTGTATCAGGGACACAGCAATTTTAACATGGTACAAAATTGTTAGTAGATAAAAGCTCAATCATATTAATGTAAAAAATGTAAGGGTTATTCCTGGGGTATTGTTGAATATAGTCCTGAGTAGCCTATTATATTGTGCTGTCTAATATTCTATGATTCTTTGACAGATAATTCCTTTAATTGAATGGCAAAACTTTTAAGATGACAAAAACAACACATTTAGCTGCATTAAACATTGATCACAATTTCTTAGCCATTTTTTTTGGTACTACCAGAAAATTTTGCTTACTAATTTTTGGTTTATTCTATAGGAAATATTATGTAATTTTACAATTGAATAGTTACCAATTGTCATGCATTAAATCTGTTATTCCATAGTAAAGGTTAGATCATGACCTTTTTTTAAAATAATGAAAATGCTGGCATGACCTTAGTAATATTGCTTCAAAATCATGACATGCTTGCAATATATGGTTTTATTTCAAATTTTGCCAAATTTGTAACTTTTGCACAATTGCAATTATTACACATGGGCAATACACTTCATTTTAAATGTTCAATTTTGTAGATTTACAAAGATTCTAGAATTGTTAGAGAAAAATTACAAAACAAGATGCTCTCTGAAATCAGTTGTAAGTATCTAGTCAAACCTGCTATAAAGGGGGGGGGGAGGTTGTAAGTATATAGTCAAACCTGCTATAAAGGGGGGGGGTTGTAAGTATATAGTCGAACCTGCTATAAAGGGGGGGAGGTTGTAAGTATATAGTCAAACCTGCTATAAAGGGGGGGAGGTTGTAAGTATATAGTCAAACCTACTATAAAGGGGCTGGAGGTACTTTTTTTTATCTCTGTCCATAATACATTTCTGTCTGAATGGCACCAAGCTTCATCTTGAAATGCCACATGTGTCAGAACTGTTCCATGAAAACATACATTGGACCAAGTGAAGGCAACTTTAATTTGTCATTATAGGTTGGTGTGAAATATTATGTTAATGTTTGCAGGTCTCTAAAATTGCTTCTATGTGGTTATCTTATATTCAAAGTGCCTTCTTTGGGTACCTTGTATGTTTAAATGTAATAGCTCTGACATGTTTTGAGTTCCTGTTTGCCAAAACCATGTATCTAAAATGTAATGCACCTGTATGAAACTTTTCTTCACATTTTTCTAGGCAACTACAGGTCATAGCATTTGATATTTGGCAGCAATTGAGTGAGAAAGTCAATTAGTCAGTAATTTATATCTTAATTGCAATATTTTCTAAATATAATATGGTTATTCTAGTGAGGTGAAAGTGTACATTGGTATGATTTGTAATAAATCCAGTTTTAATGATGCCTGTCCTTTAACCTATGTATATGTATCAATGAAACAGGAATTATTAAATCAGGCTCTAATAGACTATTTCACATTTATGTTATCCAATCTTATCACTCCACTTTTATTAAAGAGTTGCATAGCAACTTGAAAATTTATGTACATAAACAATTTTCTATTTGCATTTAGCCTATTCCTCCAGACTTTGATGTGAAAACAAAAGTAACAGAATTATTACAGAAAAATGAATATGATAAAAAGAGAGCCAGGACAATGGATATTGATGACTTTCTAGGGTATGTAATATAAAAAAAATTAATTTAAATGGTCCCAAAATCTTATATATATTTATGAAAATAGGAGATGTGGTATATTAAACTGCCAATGAGACAACTATCCACCAAAGACAAATTGATTGATTGATTGGTATTTGTTTTACACTGTATCATTGCAAAAGAATATATTGCAGTTAGAGGGTTATTTTTTTTTTACACCAAAGACAAATGGACAAGGTTATAAAAAATAAAGGTCATCATGCAGTGTCAACAATGAGCAAAACCTTTAACTGATATTAAGCTATACGAGGCCCTTGGAAAATAAAATGTGAAACATTAAAAGTGAAAACTGATTTGATTTAAGTAAGAAATAAAAAACAATTATGGCAGACCGCTATTAACGACAACCACTGACTACAAACTCCTGGCTTAGGACAGGCACATTAAGAATATACATGTAGCAGGTTGAAGTCTGTTTGTTAGTACTTATCCCTCCCAAAACCTGGAACAGTGATGTAACAGCACATTAGAACAAAGTGTAAGAATTATTTTGTAAGGGCTTACTGACTCATTAGTTCGGTTCTATAAAGCACAAAAACATACTCTTTTGAAGCGATTCTTTACAAAATTACTTATTTTCTTTTGTAGAAGAAGTATCTTTCTAAATCTGAAATATCAGAAAACTGTATATTGAATTTTATTTTTAATAGATTTTTTCATAAAGGTTCACTTATTTTCAGAATATTGATAAATATAATTTATATGCAGTTTATTGACTATTTTATTTTGCAGGTTATTGAATTGTTTTAACACAGAAGGATTTCATTTTACATGATGAAAAAAAAACCACAAGCAACAGCAACATATCTGTGATACTGCATCTACCTTCAGATGAATGAAGACACCGAGGAAAGCATCAGAAATATCATTTTCCAATGTTGTTCTGTGAACATTGATGGACAAACAATAAAATATTTGACAAGTTAAGATATCAAACTAAATGTGTAGTGTAAAATGAATTTGAATAATGTTATGCTAACATTAGTTATGTATGCAAGTTCATATTTGAAGGATTCAAGTTTATTTCATTTTTATAAATATAGCTAAATGTACAAATGCATTGTATAGAGTAAAATCAAAGCATCGTTGATGTTGTGATCCAGCCATATTCATAGCTAGTCTGATATTCTTTCTGACCTTACTTTTTTCTAAATTTTTTCCTCTTTTCATTTCCAATCTAACTGTAAAATGTCTATGTTATTGTCCAAAGGTAGGGAATTTCGCAATATTGATGCAAATATAGATATATATATTGATCTTTCAATTTTAGACTCTGTCAGATTTTATTTTTGACAAGAATTGAAAGGAAAATCGTCAAACAAGTAATATATTTTTTTAAATGCCATTAATAATGACAGGTTTAATAATTTCCAGAAAGAGGCTTTATAAATGCACTTTCTCAACAATAAAAATTAAAAAAAATATTAACTATTTTTTATCTAAATTGGTGTTCATTCTTCATTAAGAAAAATACATTTCCTGTATTCAAATTTAAATGTACAAATACCTAATGCTGAAATATTTCCAATTACTGTTAAATAGCAATATAATGGGATATAAAAGTAAAACAAACAAATTTTATTGCAGAAAATGCTCAGGTAAGAGTTGTGCAATTTTGTTCAATATTTCAACCAAATTTCTGATAATTGTAACTAATTAATTAGAACGTGATTATTGACTTATGTCAGATGATAATGGCACTGATTTTACAAGTAAAATGAAATTTGCTTGCATTTTTTATACATATATTTTTCATTTTAAGTATTTTCTTTGAAAAAAAAAACACATCAGATTAATCAGTCAGCTAGCTAGCAAAATTAACAGAGTATTTCAATGTAGTGTAAATCAAAATAAATAATACATTTGTAGGTTTACTATTGAGGTCAAGAATGTGTGTATTCAGTTAGGTGTGTAATAAATTGTGTCTATTTAATTATGTAACAGGTCATGAGATATTAACTGTTTTGAATTAAGCCTGGGGTTGTTTCTAATTAATACTTATTAGAAAATCATGACAGTTAATAATCATTCTGACTCTTACTTGCCTATGGAAAGAATTGGAGTAATACCATTTCAAACTAGAGGCTCTCAAGAGCCTGTGTCGCTCACCTGTATTTACTGATGCTTTGGAAATCATGTAAAATAAGGTTAAAATCATAATTAATAGTATTAGATATTAGATATTATAATGATATCTAAGATAATAACAAAAAACTGCAAAATTTTTGTAAAATTACTAACTCAGGGGCAGCAACCCAACAACGGGTTGTCGGATTCGTCTGAAAATTTCAGGGCAGATAAATCTAAATCTGATGAACTTTTTTGCCACCAGTCAGATTTGCTCTAAATGCTTTAGTTTCAGAGATATAAACCAAAAACTGCATTTTACCCCAATGTTCTATTTTTAACCAAGTCGGCCATGATGGTTAGAAGGCGGGGTCATCGGACAAATTTTTCAAAGTAGATACCCTAATAATGATTATGGCCAAGTATGGTTATATTTGTCTCAGTAGTTTCAGAGAAGAAGATTTTTGTAAAAGATTACAAAAATTTACAAAAAATTGTTAAAAATTGACTATTAAGGGCAATAACTCCTAAAGGGGTCGACTGACAATTTTGGTCATGACAACTTATTTGTAGATCTTACTTTGCTGAACATTATTGCTGTTTACAGTTTATCTCTATCTATAATAATATTCAAGATAATAACCAAAAACTGCAAAATTTCCTTAAAATTACCAATTCAGGGGCAGCAACCCAACAACCGGTTGTCAGATTTGTCTGAAAATTTCAGAGCATATAGATCTTGACCTGATAATCAGTTTTACCCTATGTCAGATTTACTCTAAATGCTTTGGTTTCAGAGATATAAGCCAAAATCTACATTTTACCCCTATGTTCTATTTTTAGCCATGGCGGCCATCTTGGTTGGTTGGTGGGGTCATCGGACACATTTTTTAAACTAGATACCCTAACAATGATTGTGGCCAAGTTTGGTTAAATTTGGCCAAGTGGTTTCAGAGGAGAAGATTTTTGTAAAAAGCTAACGACGACGGAGACGACGACGACAACGACGGACGACGGACGCCAAGTGATGAGAAAAGCTCACTTGGCCCTTCAGGCCAGGTGAGCTAAAAACAGCAAAATTACCTTAAAATTACCAATTCAGGGGCAGCAACCCAACAACGGGTTGTCCGATTCATCTGAAAATTTCAGGGCAGATAGATCTTGACCTGATAAACAATTTTACTTCATGTCAGATTTGCTTTAAATGCTTTGGTTTTTGAGTTAAAAGCCAAAAAATGAATTTTACCCCTACGTTCTATTTTTAGCCGTGGCGGCCATCTTGGGTGGTTGACCAGGTCACGCCACACATTTTTAAAACAAGATAACCAAATGATGATTGTGGCCAAGTTTGGTTTAATTTGGCCACGTAGTTTCAGAGGAGAAGATTTTTGTAAAAGATTACTAAGATTTACGAAAAATTGTTAAAAATTGACTATAAAGGGCAATAACTCCTAAAGGGGTCAACTGACCATTTCAGTCATGTTGACTTATTTGTTAATCTTACTTTGCTGAACATTATTGCTGTTTACAGTTTATCTCTATCTATAATAATATTCAAGATAATAACCAAAAACAGCAAAATTTCCTTAAAATTACCAATTTAGGGGCAGCAACCCAACAACAGGTTGTTCGATTCATCTGAAAATTTCAGGGCAGATAGATCTTGACCTAATAAACAATTTTACTTCATGTCAGATTTGCTCTAAATGCTTTGGTTTTTGAGTTATAAGCCAAAAACTGCATTTTACCCCTATGTTTTATTTTTAGCTGTGGCCGCCATCTTGGTTGGTTGGCCGGGTCACGCCACACATTTTTTAAACTAGATACCCCAATGATGATTGTGGCCAAGTTTGGTTTAGTTTGGCCCAGCTGTTTCAGAGGAGAAGATTTTTGTAAAAGATAACTAAGATTTACGAAAAATGGTTAAAAATTGACTATAAAGGGCAATTACTCCTAAAGGGGTCAACTGACCATTTCGGTTATATTGACTTATTTGTAAATCTTACTTTGCTGAACATTATTGCTGTTTACAGTTTATCTCTATCTATAATAATATTCAAGATAATAACCAAAAACAGCAAAATTTCCTTAAAATTACCAATTCAGGGGCAGCAACCCAATAACGGGTTGTCCGATTCATCTGAAAATTTCAGGTCAAGATAGATCTTGACCTGATGAACAATTTTACCCTATGTCAGATTTGCTCTTGATGCTTTGGTTTTTGAGTTATAAGCTAAAAACTGCATTTTACCCCTATGTTCTATTTTTAGCCGTGGCAGCCATCTTGGTTGGTTGACCGGGTCACGCCACACATTTTTAAAACTAGATACCCCAATGATGATTGTGGCCAAGTTTGGTTAAATTTGGCCCAGTAGTTTCAGAGGAGAAGATTTTTGTAAAAGTTTACGGACGACGGACGCAGGACGACGGACGACGGACGCAAAGTGATGAGAAAAGCTCACTTGACCTTTCAGGTCAGGTGAGCTAAAAAGTGTGGGGAATCAACTTAGATATATTAAAACACATGTTGACCTATATTTCATTGAACAATAATTTACACAAGCACAAGATACTAATATAATACTTTCAAAATTCTTATCAACTGATTCAATTGAAGTGCAAATACTTTTTCAAATTAATTCATAAATAGTAAATCATCAGAAATTTTGATTTAGAAAGGAACTATATGCAAGTGTATATCTAAAATAAAGTCACTATTCGACCAATCTTTTCTTAATTTAAGGGAAAATAACATGTCAAAAGTTTGCAGTTGATGATTAAAATGGTGTAGAAAGTTTCTGCAAGTCATAAAAACACATAATTAGTTTCATGATATGTCTTCAACTTAATATTCTGCACCATCTCCAAAACGAGAGTGATCGCATAGATCCAGCATGGCTGAATCAAAAATCACAATTGATTATAAATATTCTTTGAATAAACCAAGATGTGGGGTTTACATCAATGAGACAATAGCCCAAAGATACAATAAAACAAGAAGATGTATGGATTGAGATTACGTCCCCTTGTCACCTCTTCGTGCAATTGTTATATACCTTTTACAAGTTTGTTGATGTGTCCTATGATTACATTTTATTATGACATATGGTTGAGTCTTCATTTTGTAAACATACATTGTGTATCCTTATAAACTTATATGTTTGAAAAGTTTTGAATGAACTATCATTTGTTTTTTGTTTTATTATGGCCAATGTACAGGTTTCTGAAGTAAATAAAGTATCAATATTTCTTCAAACTTTGAGAACTTTTTAAAGAAGACTTCATGTGAGATGATATTGGTAAAACAGCATGATATTCTTCATACACTGTACCCAAAGGTGTGCATACACTTATTCCATGCTAAAGTCTGTAGAGAATTTTCAGACAGCAAATGAAAGACCTTACATAAGCAGTAAATCTGTTTGCCGAAGTTAAAATGAACATTAACCACATTACCAGCTGCAATCTCATTACTATAAAAATAGAAGACAAGAAAACTAACAGCCTGATTTATATTCAAAATAATGAACGAAAAACAAATATGATATACAGTAACAAAAGACAACTACTGAATTACAGGCTCCTGACTTGGGACAAGCACATACAGAATGTGGCGAGGTTTAAACTAGTTTGAACTAGTCCATGCAGGTCAGTTTCAGTTATTATTTATATTTAAACTGGCAATTTGAAAAACTGTTAACTTTACACTGATGTCAAATACAGCTATGATAATATTTTATTATTATTGTTTTCATTGCTTTTATTTTCTGTTTACTAAGTATGTGTTAATTGGCATTGCTGACACAGTGCAGTATAACATAAATAAACATGAATATTTTATTTTCCAAATTATAGAAGCCAACATATAAAGAATAACTAGAGGTTCCTACTAGCCTGCATAACTCTCCTGCTGTATGTGGACTGGAAAATTACTAGGAACCATT